GCTGAATAATGGATGTACAATTTGAAGGAAGCAGTAAGACAGTGACGTTATCTTTAACTAAAAAAACTTAAAGTGAAATGTGAGTCGAATAGTTGTCTATAATCAAGACAGATTTTGTATCATCCAGTAAACCAACGGATTTCCAATGTTGCCGCACCTTGGGTATGAAATGATTTTCCAATCAACCATTTATAAATGTTTTTATCATCCATGTTCTTTTATTTTGAACGACAGATGACGAAAACGTCTTTACTACTTTAAATGCCCGAGATTATGCATTTTTTCCAAGTACTAAAAGTTTATTTCTTCCTGCAGCATTTTGGTATGACAGCACCGTTAGTTTCGCCCTGGTATCTTTTGACACCTGTTGGAGTCTTTCCTGCAATTTAGGGAACATATTGCCAAGAACAAGCAGTTTCATCATCATTATAAATTTATTCTGGAGATAACTTTTCGCTATTAATGAATTTCATGAAGTCATCAACAAATTATTTAGGTGCTTTATTAGCTGAAGTTTTTTTCGTCTGAAATTTTTAACTGCTTTATACCGTGGCGATTTTTAAATTTGGTTAACCATTCCGACGAATATGTGCATTCAGTAAAGTTATTTTTGTCGTGAGATATTTTTGCTCGAACCATTAGCATTAGACCTATCAATGGCATGGCCTCGCTGCGACGCTATTCATTTGTCACTAAAAGCGAATTCAGTTGTCATTTTAGCCTAACAAAAGATCTTTCTGGTCTTCATTGTGACTTAAATTTCAGAATCCATAACAACAATATAATAATAATAATGATAATAAAATAATAATAATAAAATGTTTTTTGTTGTTAATGTGTGGGATTCTTGAATGCCCTATTCCTTGCATAATTTTGAGACGTATATACCTTTATCAATTTTCAGCAGCAGTTTCACTTTTTGCGACTTAATTGAAAATCCAAACTTTAATTTTGATAAAGTAGCTATAATAACAAAAAGTAAGAAGCTAGATCAAATTAGAAATTTAAAAAAGAACGCAACCGGCTATGTTAACTGAGTTTAACTTATGACGTGTATGGTGTTTTTACTAACAGTTATTTTAATTTGATAGTGTGTTCCGTCATCTTTTGTTTCTCTCGCGTTTTCTCTCCAGAATGAGTTAGGATGAACGAGAGTGTATTTAAACTGAAATAGCGAAAAGGTTTGTCAGAACGTATTTCGCTATTGAGTGCGCATGTTGTTGTTTCTTCTCAACTGTTTGAATTTTGGATCTCGGCTTCGCATTCTTACCGCCGAAGTTTAATATCATGCGCCGCTATAGGGTTCTTAGTCTTGAACTACTAGCTTATCTTTTTAATTTGGTTTAGTTCACCATTATCTTTATTTTTTTGGGCTACAAGTGGATAGTGGATTTCTAAGCACAAAGACTCTTCCGTCTGTAAATAATTGAGTTCAATAAAAGGGCTTTTACACCCTTCTCCTGTTGTGTTCAACTTCTACTCTTAGCTATAAGTTACAAGCAGACTTTGAAGATAGTCTAGTAGCAGTTTATGCTAGTCAAGCAAATTAAAAAGTATGAGTAATATCGCATTCCAAACAACTATGTATTGGTGCTTCAGTATGTACATGTGCTTCAGTTATTGTTTAAGTCAGATAGGAAAATACTAACCTCTAACAACCACTCAAGAGGCTGATGGTGTCGTCATGTCAATTGTGTAACTGATACAGGCACACTTTTATCGCACTGTTTTTGCAACCGTGGAAGATGCGAAGAGTAAGCGGTGTGGTGGTGTATTTAATTATGACAAAGCACACTAGGGCTATCTGCCTAAGAGGAGGGATGCCTTCGTGGAGGACTTTCTAAGGGAATCTGGCTCGATACTTGCTATACATGGGGAAAACCACGAAAACACCCATGCAGCCAGCCCGTTTGCGGGATTCACACCTCGGACCGAACTACCAGTGTTCAGCGACTTTACCGATCGGGCGCTGGTGGGCCGCGAAGAGTAAGCATTTCCTTTTTTGTGGAAAGAGGGTGTGAAAATATCAGAAATCGTTCAACGTATGCGAGGAGTATTCTGATCTCATGTTCCCACATGTGTACCCATGTTTGAGAAAAACCTTACGGAGTGTTCGATTTGAGGATTTAACCATGCCATTAACAGGTGTATTAAGAGACATCGAAACAGTTCTTTGAGAAAAGAAAAATTATTTTTCATTTATATCAGTGTATTCATTTAAATAGGGATTATGTTAAAAAACTGCATTCTAATATTGATGAAATTTGACGAAATTAAATATTAAATTCCTAGAACTTTGCAAACATTCATCATTTAAGAACGATCACATTCAACTGCACATAAATTAACAGTCCCGAATTTTTGCTATAAAAAACTGAAAGGCTTTAAAAAATTTATAGCGAATTAAATTCAAATCATGTAATTAATTATATATATATATATATATATATATATATATATATATATATATATATACATTCAATGAACCATCTCTGACGTATCTAAAACGATGAAGTGGCCAGTATTTTTTAGAACATAAATTAACATAAATACTAATAATTATAATAGTCAATCTCACTAACCCGATCGAGACCGAATAATGAAATATGTAGTAAGATGACCACCAAAGTGTCTTAATTTTGCTAATAAAGTAAAATATTTTATATACTGATCAAATCATGAAGTTGTATTTTTAATTCTTAGAATAAACTGAAACCCTTTTTTTAGAAAACAGTTGTAATTATTTCTAAATTATCAATTTTAGCCCTTTTCTTTTCTTTTAGCCTTCCTAGCACATAGGCTTGATTCGAAAATTATGATATAACACTCTATAAATGACTCATAACATTTTATTAACTCTTTTTATTAGTTCTTTTCTGTCTCCACAGCAGAAAATGATAACAAATCAATGTTATACGAACCAACATTACTCTTAAAGTTAGTTCCTGGAGAACCGTAAGGAAAGTCAGATGACGTATCATCCCTTCGTCATTGCTAAACAGAGTAACATAAATTCAAAAGAAGGCTTAAAATAAAAGCCTTTATTTCCTCGACAGCCTGATATCTACACAACGTGCGTTATAACAGAAATCAAATACCCGCATTTCCGGCAAATTCATGAACAAATGCTAAATAGTGAGATTAAAAAATTAAATTACTAAGTAAAACGTGCCTACAAGATTTCTCTAGCAATTACAGCTAGCGAAGCTAAAGCCGAATTAATATCTGACTCTTCATTAACTAATTTAAATACATTTACTAATTTACAATCTGGTTGGGACCAATGAAAGTAGAAGACAAAATGCAGGCTATAAAAATTCAAGTGTTGTTAAAATGCAGACGAAACACACGCTAGAAATGTCTAAGAGGTACTAAGTTAGTTCTTTTCTGTTTATTAAATAATTATAACCTATTTAATTTATTTCGATGTTTTCATTTCGGTACATGCATGTATGAAGTTTAATATTTTAATTTAATTAATTTCTTTAATCTTAAGTCATTAGCGTCAAAGCCTTATTTGGAAGCACGATTTCAACCTTTGAAGGTTCTGCTCACGGTTTGTTACAAAGAAAGTTAGAAGCAAAATGTGATGGATGATCGAGAGTAATAAGTGGTTCATTAAGTTCAAACTGCCTTTTAAGAAGAGGAAGTATTAGCTAAAAGAACAAATTAAATAAGCAGATTTCATTCATTGGATTCAATATTTTAAGCAATGAGTGTTTTAAAGTTAAACAAAATTAATAATATAGTTTTATAAGGTATTTCTTCCGCATGCCTTTGTGGTGTAATGGCCAGCACACTCGGCGCGTATTCGTATTCGAGAGTGCCTGCGAGGGCATTGCTCATTTTTCATCTCTCCTGCTTCCAAAAAAGTCTAATGTCTCTACAGTGGCGCCCGAACTAAAAAAAGGTAAAGAATGATGATTCTGCAGCACTAGGATTTGGTGATTGGGTTCCCTAATCCCCAGTTGCCCTTTAAAAGGTGATGGATGATGTATATAAGGTATTTCTCCTGCTTTCGTAGCATGCCTTCGTGGTGTAATGGCCAGCGCACTCGGTGCGTATTCGAGAGGTCCGTGTTTCGAGTCCCGTCGCGAACATCGCTCATTTTTCATGTCTCCTGCTTCGAAATAACCTAATGTCTGTATAGTTTTATTGAAAAAAATAAATTAATGAGTGTTTTTAAGATTAATAAACAAAACTTAAAACGTAAAACATTTGTAATTTTTTATAAGTTTCTGAATTCTATAAACAAGTTAAAACATTTATATTATAATTTAGGAAATAGTAAAATGGCTAAATTGCTTATGCACTCCAAACTGTTTAGAAAAGGAAATGCTAATTAACTGTTATATCGCAGTACTATTTCAATATTCAGTATTATCGATTTGCAAATCGATTTGCAAATCGATAATGATTGTCACCCACACTCATCTTATCTAAAACAAATTCCTCTAGAGAAGACCAAAATAATGTGAACAATGGATCGTTGTCTTAAACAGGGTTCGTTGTATTTAGTTTATATATTTTAGTCTGCAAAAGAGTGAAAATCATAAAAGAAATCAATTCATTTTGCAGGTAGGAAAACTGTTCACTTTAATTAGCATTAATAACGCACTGACTTTCTAACGCGTTGTAAAATTTTGAGCCTATCATTTTTGGAGCTTGAAGTCGATGCTTGTCTTTACTAGAATTCAGAACTCGAACTCAGTTCAAGTTTTATAAGTGCTTTTCTCTGCCTTATTTCTTTAAAATTAGGAGCTGCATGATGTTTTCTTGGCCTTCAATTTTCTCGAATAGGAACGTTACTCTTTTTGCATGCAGTTTTTTCTGTTTCGCTTGTAATTAGAAAAAAAAAAAAAAAATCCCGCATAACCAAGATTTTTCTCCTCGCAATCAGCGTTTTTTTTAATAAGTAGAAATGATGTCCAATTTTATACATGCTTTTAATCAATCATCAGCTAGTAATATATTGATTTGTAAATAATAAAGAAAATCACCTGAGGGACATTCATCAGTTTGGGATCCATCGTCGATGAGAATTAATAAGCCTGACTGTCTGCCATCTCCTGAAATTGAAACATAAAATTTAAAATATCAGATGCGAACACCACATGACTTCTTTTTACGGAATATCAAATTATACGCATTTTTTGCTGTATTTAATTTAAACTTATTTCCTCGAATTTCATTACAGATAGATTTCTCATTCAATTAATTCAGTTCTCACTTCGCGGCAAGGCAAAAAGGCATAAAACCTCAAAATATCTGCATTAAAAATTGAAAAATATAGAAAAACGTAAAACATCAAATACAGTTAAAACAAGTAAAAAAATTTTACAATTAAAATTAGAATTTGTACGCAAAAACAAGCAGTTCGGCCAACAGGCAAGAAGGCAGATTTTTCGGTGCGTAAAACTGAAAGTTTACTTTTGATCCCACTCGGCAAAAACACTCTGAATAATTAAATTAAAAAGTATATCTAAATTAAAAAGACACTGAATGTGCAGAAACTGACTTAATTTACTATTCTGCTAAGTTTCAAATGTAAACAAGTATGGCTGCTATGGTTAAAAAAAATAAGCTCAGCCTCACTTAAACAACTTTTAAATTGTTGATAATTCTCTATAACTATTACATACAGATTACTAAAGGCATCAAAATCTTAAACGGAAGATAAGAACAGCATAATTCAATCATTTTTTAAACAAAAAATGCACAATTTACCAACATTTAAGATAAAAAAAATTGAGCTCACCAAGCCGAATATATATATTTATATACCTTTGGTGCGGTCCATTGCAATAGAAAAGGGAGGTGCACAACTGCATGTTATAGCAGTCGTATATACAAAATTTGAACTTTCTAAGGCTACTCGTTTTTGAATTATGTGAGATATATACGTAGGTACAGACATCACGAAAAAAATCTCTTCTGAATGTATTTTATAATCCGTTTGAGGGAAAACAGTCCTTTATTCTATCCTTACGTACAGATGTCACGAAAAAACATCGTTAAATTGCATTCTATAGCGGTCAAAATGGATATTTTTGTTGAAATATGATACCCGTAATTTTTCTTGATTACAACACTTACTTTACTTCGTACAAGGAAGTAAAATTTTTAAATTAAGTTAAAGAACAAACAGTTAAGATTCTATAATTAAGACACAATACACACCGAATAAATACTAATTCAGAAGTCAAACAACAAAAATCAGCGTTATATTTTCAAAATTTTAACAGTGTGTGAAAGTTTCTGTTTCACAGTTTCTGTGAAAATTTTGAAAATATAATGCTGACTTTTGTTGTTTGACTTCTGAATTAGTTACGATTCTAGTTTAATGTTGAAAACTGACTCGAACTTGTATGTTTGCTTTGTGACACATAAGATTCCATAAAATATTGACATTTTAATGATAAAAAATATATATTACTGGATGCACGTAATAATTAAATTATCGAAAAACTGAAAACGGTTTTTTAAGATGACGAATATTTACTAGTACTTACATATGATATATACTTTTCAGCATAAAAAAGCGTGGGTATCCGAGTACCAATAAGAGTATCCGAATGGAACGAAATTGCATATGTCTTTACCTTAGAATAGAATAAGTCGAATGATTAACTTTTGGCTGCCAATGACTAACTATCTGGAGGTCCAGCGCATTGCAACGAAGCATTTTGATGGTGTATAAGCAGAGGACATCCCAGTGCTAAGGCATGCGCTGTGGTGAGGAACATGAATCCTACAAGTGCATGAAAGGTAAAAATGAACCACCAAAGTACGCGAACTACTGCTTGAAAATAGGCCACACCGCAAATTTCTGCGGCTGTGAAATGTTCCCAATACAGAAAGTCACCCCTCCAGTTAAAACATACGCAGGCAACAAATCCTGCTCTCAAGCCTGACAACTAGTCTTGTCCCTGAATCGCTCAGTGAAGCTAAGCAGGTGCTAAATGAACTTAAAATGTTTGTTTCGCTCATCAAAGACTCCATTCTACCACTCCTCTTCAAGCAAATGACTAATAGTTCCCTTGCATCTCAAGACTGTGCCACTAATAGTTCTGTTAATGAATAGTTATACCCGAACAATTACTCCATTCTGTTTCGCAGTGTGGAATGCCAGTGGCTTCCATAATAGGATCTATGAATGCAACATTTTCTCTACACTCACGATATCGATATTGGGATTATTATTGAAACCCATTCTCAGCCATGTCACCGCCTGTCTATCCCCAATCATCGACCGAAAATTTGTGTGATCACACAAATCACCGTGGAGGTGGCTTAATAATTTATGTCAAGCGGGAACTTTCAGTCTTGCCTTATGGAAGAGTGGAGGCTAAAGATGTACACTGGTATGCAAAACTTAAGCAACAATATAAATTTTAATCAGATAGCCATAAAATTTCAGGAAAAGGGTTCTTGCGATCAGTACAATGAACACGCACTTCAGTAGAAGGGTTATGCGTACTCAAATATCAGGAACAAAACATCACAAGCGACGTGAGCCTACGCAAAAAGCGTGCGGTCGACGCGCCCAACTGAAGACTGAAGGAAGGACGGAGACGCAATTAAAGACATTCGGTTCAAGTAAGTTTTTTCGTGAAATATGGTTAGAAGAATCACCTGGATGGCTTCGCACGTGGAAGAATGATTGGAAAGCTGGAGGAGAAGCGTAGTGTGACCAGTGTAGTTGAAGAGTTCGGAATCAACAAAAGTGTCGTTTTGCACTCTTGGAAAGCCTTCCAAACTATAGGTACGGCTGTTAGAAAGGTTGTTGGTGGTAGCTTCAGGAAAACAACTGCAGTGGATGGCCAATATGTCGTCCTGCAGGCGAAAAGAGCCCGAAACCAGTCAGCAAGCGCCAAAGCTCAGCAAGTGTCGGGCGACAAAGTTTTACTACGGGGCGACAAAGTTTCGCGGTTTACTGTGTCCAGACGCCTTCACAAAGGTGTCCTATTCGCCAGTCTTCTTGAACGCTGCATCCCTTTGAAAGTTGGCCATATGCTGTAGGTTTTTCCCAAGTTTACCATAACAGCTTTATACTCACATGTTACGACGACACTGCCGTGGCAGTTAAGTCTGTGAATATAAATCATGCAATTAAAAACTGCTCATTTATAGGTTTTTATTTTAAAAAAATTCTTTGAATGTAAAATTTTGATATAGTGGTGATACAAATGTTACAGAAAATTTTTTACACTTTTACTAAGAATGTTATAAAGAATGATACATTTCACAGAGAATTAATCACGTATTAAATATTAAAAAAGGATAAATAATTAAAAAATAATGATAGATTAACTAAATGAAAATAATAAATTAAAACTTAAGTGATTCAAAAACACGTGGTTCATGAAATCGTTCTCACAAATCAAAAAAGTATGTTCGTTGCCACAGCAAATAAAACTTTTAAAAAATACGATCGTTGCGAAAAATAATAAAAACTTTGAAAACATAGGATCGTAGCCACACTATGAAAATGAAACTATACATGACGTCATTCCACTTCGTCTCTTCCGGTTGTCACGTGATCCAAGATGGCGAAGGCCACGCTCTTTTTCTGTGACATTACTTCCGTCATCCGGTTACGGGCGCTTTCTACTAATAATAATAGCTAAAAATGAAAAAATTAAAAGACTTATACTGCTTTGAGATTGTTGCTGTTTATAATAAGATAGTTCATTAGGGTCTGAAGCTTCTGGCGAAGAAATTTACTCCTGATAATCTACTGAAATCATTCACGATCATTGTTTATTGTGCAAGGCTGAAAATGTAGATCTTTGGTTATTGACACTGAAAAAAATAGTGGTCTAATGTAACTGGAAAGCCATAATGGAATTATCTATATTATGTAGACCAAAACGAAATAAGTAGGCTACGAAAGGTACATGAGCTGCTAGAAGGTAAGGGTTACAGTCTAAAATATCGCGTCAAAATGTTCGCGGAGAAAACAACGCAGGGCGAAAAGAAAGCAAAGAGAAAACATCGCAGTTCTAAAATATCATGGTCGAAAATAAAGCGGTTCAAAAACTTCGCAGTTTAAAAACATCGTCGTCGAAAATATCATGCTAAAAATAAAGTACCTACTAATCATCGAATGACGATAACATCACACACATACGTTTTTGAAATCCCAGACTGACATATTATGTAATAGACTTTCGTCTTAACTAACAAATCGACATCCAAAAAATTGATTGCACGCTACACATAAAAATGTTAATGATACTTTAAGAATAAACGGAAACAAAACAATATATAATTTTCACTAAAACAGTATCAAATTAACAAATATCATTAACTAAGCAAATTTGTAGAGGTAACCTCAGTTATTTATCTTCCTTTATCTAAGCATTTTTAGACTGTATTTCTCAAAAACTATCAGTAAAACTTTGTAAAAACGGTTAATTTATTAATGGTCTTTATTAATTAACTATGTAAACTTAAAAGTTGCATTAATTTTCTACTCATTTTCAATTTTCAAATGCTGAAGTTTCCTTCGTATTTTTTCAGCAGAAATTTATTATTTCGTTCAAAAATATGAAATATAGAAGTAGAAGTATCTCTCTTTCCTTCTTTGCGCTCCCAAAACGTTATACGAGCAAGCATTTACAAATCTAAAACCATGTGTGCAATGTTATCGTCATGCGATGATTTGTGGGTACTTTTAATTTTTACCACGATATTTTCGACGGCGATGGTTTTAAACTGCGAAGTTTTTGACCGCTATATTTTCGACCACGATGTTTCCGCTTTGCTTTCAATTCTCCCACGATGTTTTGTACCACGTAGGTAGGACGTTTTCGCCTTGCGTTGTTTTCTCCGCGACATTTTCAACCGCGATGTTTTCGGCGAACACCAAGTTATAGCACTATTTGTAGAAACTAATTTACACGAGGGGATGGGTAAGAAGGTAAATTTTCTTCTTCTAGTGACTTCTTGTGACCATAAACATCTCCATTGTGACACAAGATCTTTTTCTTAACAAGATTTTAAGCACAACAGTGACTGCAGTGATCATTTATATGCGACTCAGCGAACGGTTTGAGGTCACAGA